GTCTATTGTTACCCATATCAGCGCATTTTAATGGCTGTCTCCTAGCTCTCAAGATGTTTAATACATTTCCCCTTCCATTGTATTGTAGCTAAAATATGACCTGCCGCTGTTTAAATAATGTAATTTAATGATTTCACATTTTCAGCCATGCAAGGCTTCCTTTCAGCACTGAAGCCTTTCACTAATGATTTGGGGAGATAGTTTGTTCTCATTTCTTTCAGAACTCAAGACTGAGAAAATCTGGCTTGGAAATAAATTATTGACATCCACTTTAGGAACAACACAATGTGTAGTGGAAATAAAATACATAAAGTTTCAGTGCCATGAGGCTAGAATCTCCAACTTGTCGATTTCTTTCAAGGTTCAGGTGTCATTCAAGCTCCATAACAGTGGAGATATCTAAAATACTGTTGTGCCATTGCTCTGTGATGTAATATATTTGGGTCAACCCTTTGAAGAGAGACTACCAGATTGTTATCCATGGTGTGCAAGCGGCCAGCAGTGAGCTGGTAGGCAACACCGTGCTAGTTTCTTCTCATTTCGAACATGCATGCTATGCTAAAAGGATAGCTATAACACATTAACTTTTTAGCTAAAACTGCTTTGGCTGTCACGGAAAAGTGAATGAAATGAGAAGACAGCTTTTAGCAACTCCTCAGCAGTGGAATACCTTCCCATTTCTCAGTGATTTCAACATGAAATCAACAGGGTTAAAAATTATATTAAGAAAACAAGACAGAACTAACTCAGCTTTCAAAAAAGGTATCATTCAAAAAAAGGTATCTTTCTGTTCAGATATGCAGAAATATTACATTGAGACATAAAAATCAGATGGGCTTAAGGAGCAAATGTCTTTCCATGAATATCAGCTCCCAGGCATTACTGAATATCTCAGATTAAGCAACTACTAGTCCCTTGGAGCGACTCTTGAGAAGGATAACTAAAATTAAAAAAAAAACACCCTCCCCCCAAAACCTAGAGAAATCTGGCCTGGCACAGGAAATGCAGAAACTGAAACTGTTCAGCCCAGAGAAAGGTTTCCTGAAGCCGGCAAGTTGAATATTGATGAACACCAATTTGGACAACAAGAGGAAAGCTGGCAGAGTGTTTTCTGCACTAAGTCAATAAGGACAGGCCAAGAAGCAATGGACTAAAAGCAAGAGACAGGCAACACATTGTCTTGTAGGGCACTTGCCTCACTTTTTCCCTTCTCACCACCTCACCATTGCTATTGTGACACCTCTGAAACTTTTGCTGATTAGGAAAGCACGGCTGTGTTCCAGCTGTAATTCTAAGAAATGGTAAGGGGAAAACAGGTGTGTAAATTTCTTGGATTTCTTGGACAGCTTTCTTGGATGTTTTTTAAACCCTTACTTTCAGTGCTTTTAGTGGATTACAGTAAAAAGTTATGGTTGTTGATTTTATTGTTTTCTTCAAAGAACTGTTGGTGGAAAGCCAAAGTTCCATAGGTGAATCTGTGTTATGTTCAGGGATTTCTGTTCACTCTAAAGCAGATGGCTCGATTCTGCCACCAACCCCCTGGCATCTCAGTAAATTGTATTCTTTGTATATTCCTTGTGCAGATGAGAAATTTGCTTAATTGGAGGCAGGGAAAACATATTTTTGTAAGTTTCACAGCAAGATTTTACACACTCACTGTCCTTCCTTCTGTTCACACACGTTTGATTTATTTGCTCAGGGAACAGATACGGTATAGCAGTGCGTATGGCAAATGACACAGTGTAATGAACAGAAAACAATCAAGTATGTATCAAGAAAAGTATTTCTGAAAGAGGCTTAGTCTAAACCTCTTTTCACTTACAGCAACAAAATTCCTATTGACTTAGTGGTGATCAGGACCATATAGCAACAGGACAATTTAACACAAATACATTTGGGAAAAAAACCACCTTACTTATAAGTAACTGACAACTGAAGAATAGGTAATTTCACTGAATAAGTTATACCGTGTGAGTAATTTCCATATCATTAATCACTCCATTTTACCAATGTCTTGAATTTTCAAAGAAATTCTTGTTTTCCCATTTTAAATACTTAACATATTTCCTCTATGATTCCTAGCACTGAATGCTCTTTTCTCCTTCCACAAACAAAGGTTTTCATTGTTTTATCCAGTCACCCTGAGGTCTCACACTTATCACCCTGAACCAGACCTGAAAAACCTTGAGAAGAAAATCAGTTAAACACATATGTGGATAACACAAAACGTAGTGGGGATGACTCCCTTGATCAATGCTTAATATGAATTCAAGTACTCTGTCAGATCAGAACTTTTCTGAATTCATACATTATTCAAAAAGTCTTAACGGTGTCAATTTTGAGTTACCTAGCTGGGGTAGTTTGTGATGAAGAGGTTTAGAAGCTTACTGATGAGAAAAGAAAAAGAAGACAGGAGAAGACCTATCTCACAGGAGGTGTGGACATCTATGCTCGATTGCACTGGAAATTCAGGGACAGCAGGTGTGATAACAATGGGAGTAATAACACATGTTAGAAAACAGCATGAAAACATGTCCCCCAGTCATCTAGGTTGACCATGCCACAGTGAGGTTTAAGAGAGATGGAAGTTGACGAATGTGGTCTGATTTTGCCCAAAGGGCAGGAATAACCAAAACTGTGTTGAAGCCTGGGCTCCTATGAGTATACCTATAAAAATGCTGTCTATAAAACAGAACACACATTCTATTATTATCTTCCAAAAACCAGAGACCAGAAGTCAATCAGCTTCAGTGGAACTGATGATACCACATGGAAGCTGAAGATGTTCTCTAGAAACACAGCACTCTCACCTGGCTCCTACCTTCATTCACACATGCATTGGGTAGTGGGCTATAGAGGAAGCAACAGAAGCTTACAACGGTGATTCAGGGCTCTTAAGAGCTATCTTGACCAAGTTGCTTTGTTTCCTTGTGTATCAGTTTCACTTCCAAATAACAAGGGCAGCGGCACTTGCTTAGAGGATTAGGAAGGAAGGGTAGAGAGGATGTCAAACAACAATGCAACTAAGTGAATTCATGTGTTCTGTTCCTTTCACGTACTTTATGGAAGGTGTGACTGCATCCATAGACAGGGAACTGCACCTGACGCTCCAGCAAGTCCCTATTTGATCCCATGCTTCTATCTACCAGTAAAGAATACAGAGGAAACTTTTTCATCTGGTAAGGTCATTGCTTGTGAAATTTATTTGGCAGCAGAGTTACACCTTTTAGCTAGCAATTAGACACCCATGGATAAACTAAAGAGCAAAGGTTGCCTGGCTTAATCCCTACCCTCCAGCTTTGCAAGACAGGGTGAATAAATGACGTAAGAACTGCACGAGCTTATGTTTATTTATAATACTACATACCCAGCAACTATAACCTGGAGCACTCCAGAGTGGAAGGATACATTTTTATAATGCCTGTTTCTTCATTAAGATTTCATCATCCACCTACGCTAAAAAGCCACTTCCCCTTCACTTTGTTATATCTGCTTTTACCCGCTCCTGTTCCCGCATTATTTTTTTAATCTCCAGTTCCCTACTTTACATGCACTCTCAAATTTTAAACAAGTAAAATTTGTGCATTAGTGTGTCCTTTTCATCTATGATTTATGAATGACAGGTTCTTCGGTGCAGCTTAATGGTATGAGAGAGACATTATTTTAAACATTAAAGTGAAAACCATTTACAACTATGATAAGAGAGGTCTGTTGACATTAAACTTTAAAACATGCACAAGGTAAAGGCAAGTAGCTGCTCCAACAGGTGAGAGTACTATGCATGCGGTTTGTAAAAGAGTTTGTTCAACACATTAGCTGTCTCTTCCTTTTCTCTGTTTCACAACCTGTGGGATTTGGTGCTTCAAACAATTCATCTGGTAATCAGCAGCCACCAGAGTTTAATAACTAAGAAGTACTTAGGGCACAGTGCTGAGCATTCATTCAAAAAAACCCCAAAACATTCCGCTCGAGGAAAACTTTTCTTACCATTTACATCAGCAAGAAATAAAAATAAATAAATGAGTAAATTGAAAGAGCTAAAGCTTTATTTTGATAATTCTTGCTCACAGCTTTATAATTTTCACACTGGACAATCACTTCCTTATCATCCTCTTCAATTAAAGCTGTACTATTCTAAGATATCGGCTAATACTTATCTTGCTATGCTTAGTTCAGTTTGCTCTGAGATGCAATCAACATAATTAGGAGTATTAAATACATCTGTATTTTATATCATATGTGTTTGGATTGATTACTGTTTCTAACAGTGTTAAACACATTGGTTGAACAGCAGAGAATATTAGGGAAAGGCAGGGATCTTGTAGAACTGCTTTTCAGTCTTATTTTAGACCACAGGGAGAATGCAGCAGATATCTTAGGGTAGAAGTGTTGCAAACATGGTACAGTACAGACAATGGGGAGGATACATACAGAGATGAACTTCTTGCTTGTGACTTCGGAGTCACGTAATTCCCTTGACAGCCTGGAGGAGGATGGCAAAACCTTATTGATAAAGCAGACCTCCCACAGCAAGAACAGGAACTCATATCTGGGGCAGAGATGGCAGCTGAGAAAACTCTATTTGATAATAAAAGTTTTTTTTAAAAGTGATTTTCATGCAATACTTTGGTTTTAGTTGCCCCTATTCATTCAGCTACCCTAATCAGCAGTGGTGAAACAGAATGTTTTCCTTCATGCTGCCATTTGAAATTTTGAAGTGAACTGTGAGTAGGGAACCTTGATCACTGATGACAGAAAAGCCTAATGAATCATTCAAGTACTTTATGTTACTGACCCATTGAATCTAAGACCCAGCCTCCAATCTGTTTTTATAAAAATGCAAATATCCCTTGAGCATCTCTCAAGTATTCAAAAACAATCCAAGTATTAACTTTCAATTCAACATCTCATTGGAAAAAGATAATTTGGTTTAAAAGAGAGAAATGAAGTGAAACAAACAGGCAAAAGAAGCTATTAGGAAAATGGTAAACATGACTTACCTTGTAGATTTTGCAATGGCAAAGTCATAATGCCTCCTGCTGCAGCTGCTGCTACCAGCCCTTGGATGTTGGTGAGATTCGCTGTAGGTAGAGTTAGGACGAGTCCTTGCTGGCCCCCCAGCTGCCCAGCCATGTTGAAAGGAATAAGGATCGGCTGATTCAGGGCTGGAGTGCCTCCTGGCATCACCCCCGCTACTGCTGAGGCTAACTGTTGGGCTGTCAGTAATGGCTGTAACAAAACATAGAGACCAAGCCTATTTTACTGCTCATGGCTTGGTATTACATGCTTACAACTCTTCTGGCTTGGGATCCTTTCATGTTCCATTACAGACACGCACTGCTTCCAATATCTTTAAGCATACATTTTCACCAACACAGAAAGTTTTGACAAACTTGACAGGCTGAAGCTGTAAGCCTTACAGTCATGTAGCATAGTAGCAATCCCAGTTGAATCTAGACTGAAAAATTCATTACACATGCACCAAAGACAATTTATGAACACAAGGCCTAACTCAAGTCAGCCCACAAGTACCTAAATGCCAACATTTCCCAAATTTTCCCAGTTTTATACTGATTGGTAAAAGCTGAAAACGCTACAGTAACAATTACCAGAAGCTATGTGGACCAAGACTGTCCTGGGAAGTGGAAGAACATTGAGTATCTTCTTAAGAGTATGGCTGAACTGGGATAAAACTGTGAAGTGATATGGGAAATATTTTAAAATGTTATACAGCGCCATACTATTATGCCTACATTTTGGTCTAAAGAAAATAAATACCTGGCATAAAAGATAATTAAATGCCTTTACTAAGGCAGGAGCTGTGTGTGACAGGCAGAACTGTCAGAGCCAATAAGGCTGCATTAAAATTGCACAAGCTTTTTAATATTAAATTATGACATGTGTTTCAAAAATAACTTCTATAAGAAATTCAAATAATTTAACCTCCTACATATGCAAAAACACTTAGGCTTTGTTTTAGAACAACATACAAAAGGCTAATCTTTCCAAACAAGTAACTTTTAAAACATATGCACGATGCATACATGTTCCCTTTTTGTAATATGAAATGCAACCAAACAGAATCACATTTTCTACATTACACAGATCAGAGATGATCAATTGCAGTTATTTACTTTTCATCGAATTGCATGTCTCGATTAGTCGAAAAGAAAGATACTGACCTGAGGCCCAACAGGGAATGCAGGATGGGACTGACTGGGTTGGTGCTGGTCTGCTGGGCTTGTGTCAGGCAGCACTGTGTTTCCCCTGGCCTCTGAAATCCAGAGAGCAGATTGACTTTAATATCAAGCCTGAGGACTGGCACATTACCTTCTACTCTGATGTCACATAACATCAAGCTGAAAATGATATGTTAAAGTGCTTTATCAATAACTCAAGCACTCAAATCACTTATCAGCTGCATAAATTATGCTAACATTCATTCAGACCAGCCAGCTCATTCAAGGAGCTACAAAAATCTGACAGCAGTGAAACTGAAGCTATCATCAACCCAGCTAATGTGGGATGCATTATACATCAATTTACATACAGTACATGAGCACTCTGTGCGTGTGGGAACTGCATTTTTTACGCTTAGGTGAGCATCAGCCATTCTAATTTCTGAAAGCAAAAATTATCTGAAAAACAATCAAGTAACATCTACTTTGTATCTTAATAAAGTATTTTCTTCTGTCAGTTACTGAGGCAGCAAAGGCTGTACTACGCACAATAAAAAGGCACTAGGAAAACTGAAAACATGTATGCCTCCAAATGACACCTTGTTTTCTAAATTGCATGTGGGGGGTGAGGAAAATTCTGTGAAACCAAGGATTTCCAGCATTTACTGAGATGATCAATATCCAACAATCGAACTATATGCTGGGCACTAATGACTTGCTAAGCACAGAACATAGTCCAGCCCTACTGGATTTTGCTGAAGTCTGCAATACAGATTTGAAAAGGAAAAAGAGAAAGAAAAACGTCCTATCAGTTATAAGAAAGTACCAAGATGTTTTCAAAACTACGTCCCAATTCTCCATTTCCTTCGGGTAAAGGACTCGCATTGATTCACAAAGTTTTTCAGCGCTGATGGCACGATCAGGCCCACATTTATCTTTGAAGCTGAAAGAATGACAGCAAGTATCAAAAGTAGCTGCAAGAGTACTGTGGTGTCTTAGAAAGAAAACCCTGGCAACGGTGTCAGATTTCCTGGTTGGTACAATAGCTTCTGTACTGTTAGTTTTTTCTGATGAGCGGTTGAAATCCCATTCTAAGTAAACTCTAATAAGATGCTCTTTTCCAGTGTTTGTCCTATGAATAGCAAGCACAAGATAATTCAGAACCAGTTTATTGGCACACCCTGGCATGGTAAGGAAAAAGGATACGATCCTGTCATACTTATAAATTTTAAAGAGAGTATTATCAGCTCATTTAAAACAAATTCTTCTATATATTCTCCAAGGGGACAGACTTATAAATAATGGAAAAATGAAAAAAAAATACTTCAGCACATTAAGGTACAAATAAAATTGACTGCTACGTATTATTCAATTGAATTCTATCTTTACAGCAAGGTGTCAATCATAACAACATTTCAGAAGAGGATTAAACAATAAATGTGCAGAGTTATTATGCAGAAATCTGAAAACCTGATTAATTTGTAATATTTTTGTGTGGTCTCAAGAAGCCAGAAATAGACGCTGCTTTGGGAATACTTACAAACAGTCTATTGAAATATCTGATTTGGAACTAATAAAAACATACAGACTTGCTGACATTTTATAAAGTGAATTCTATAAAAATATGTTTGGCATTTTAATGACCACTGTCATTTAATAATGAGAATAAGCTGACCTACTATAATCGGTGAGGACTCCAACAATTGCCTAATAACATGCAAAAAGAGACCCAGTCACTAAATTTTTTATGTGCAATTTACTCATCCAAGTTACTTGAAAAGAAAGAAATGTAACCAGATACACGAGATTCTGTGCAAACTGTTTCTGAGAAATGCATTGCAATCCTAGTGCTGCTGCTGTCCCTAAGACCAAAGATTGGTTTTCTTCAGTATGGGTTCCTCCTATACAAAATGAAGTGCTATGTTACTAAAGACAATTTTACCTTTGGTAATTTCCACATATTGTGATGAGGTTTTTTTAATCTTCTCATCACAGCTGTATGTATAAAGTGATATTAGATCAAAGGCTCAATACCAATGAATATATCACTCCCCATTGAGATCAAATCTTATAAATCAATTTTGTTCACGTAATTTTAAGGGCTGAGAATTTTGTCTTTGTGTGTGATTTAATTAATATTAAAACAAGCTCCTGATAACCTGTAATGTCATTAAATCATCCTACGAAAGCCTTGGGAGAAGAACAAAACTGGAGTCAAATATTCACTAGAATTAGATTTTATTGCAATTACTATAGCTTGAGCTCTCAGAAAATAAATAAGTTCTGAAGAAATATGCCTGTGCTTTAGTATTTTTTTCCATGGTGCCGCTATCCTAAGAACCACTGCTTTCTGTTAGCTGTACCCTAAGGATTTTGCAATATTTCATCTCACAAGCAGTATACAGTACAAATGGGTTGGTTATACAGGACCATAAAGCCAAAATTAATTACACTGCTTTCCTTTTGCATTGTACTAATTGGAATCACTTAGGATTACATTCCTTTCAGACGGCCACTCATCGCAGATGATGGATCTTTTTATTTCAGCGCTTGAATGCTCTGCCTGCTGCTTCCAGCAGCACTTGCCACATGATGCAGGCACCTTACCAAAACAGCACACGCTTTCACGTGCCTGAACGCAGTCCTACATGGCACCCTATATGAACTGATGCATGCTGTATCTCAGGCCGGAATTCTCACATTTCCTCTCATGCCCCTTCTAATCCACCTGCTGTAACGGCCACTCAAGAGTCAAGACTTTTTTCAAGACTCACAGGAAAATCTGCCTGCTGGGCTGGCAGCAAATACAGCGACATGAGGTTTTCAGGGTTAAGCTCCATTGCATCACACACAGTGACAGCATTTGTTCCTTGCTGTATGCTATCTTCAGTGAGATGCATAGGTCAGAGCTCCCAGGAAGGCTACTTTTCCTTTTCTACCTTATAATATTGACCAGGTGGATTCCTCTGATCTCAGAGGATCTGAGGAGTTGGGAGAGCTCTGTGTCACAGCTACTATTTCTGATTCGCAGACTCTTTTCTACTGATTCGGAAAAATACCTTCCTTAAGACCATTGCCCTAAACTGGCAGCACACAATCCCCTGCATTGTTTTTCCCTTCTGTTTTACCACCTTTATTTGAGACTTCATTAGTTCCAGATGCTGGAATGACCTCTGCAGGTAAATTATTCCCCTGTCCGAATTCCAGTCCTCACTAATAAATAATGGCCTGTCAGAATCCAGCCTAGATTTTCCACTTGTCCAGATCCAGGCCATTACCTCCTGTTAGGTTTTCCTCCAATGCTGCTCAGCTTTCTGTCAGAGAGGGGTATGGTGGCAGGGCTCATAGCAGTCCCTGTGCAGCTGGAGAGCTACCAGCAGCACCTTCTCTGTTCTCCCCTACACTTTGGAGAGGTTGTACTCTCATTACACATCCAGTTGCTGGTGCACGAGGGGCAGGGAGAAGGCAGACACAGGGCACCTGCTCTGGAAAGAGAAGCAATTCTGCTTAATGCCATTTGCCTAGGCAGGGAGCTAAGACTTCTCTTATAACTGAGCACTGCCATCACAGCCAAAGTCAATGTGTTTGCTCAGTAGTACCGTATGAACAGACAGGAGTGCTACTGCCATGGTGCGGCCATGACTGTAGCCAAGGCTTTAATATTTAATAAGCAGTATTCATCATATGTGATTCAACATAAATTAATTATAAATTATATAATACATACACTCACCTCTCATCCCACTAAGGGGCTGAAAGGGCATGACACAATAAAAAATTGAAGCGCACTGTAAACATTGTAAAATAACCCCGTTAAAATAAAATATTATTTAAAATAAAGCTAAGTAAAACAAAGGCAACCTTATTCTCCCCTCACCAAAAAGAAAAAAATAAAATCCCCAAAACCAAGTGAAAAAACTTGTTGAACAATACCTGGCTTAAAAATGAGAAAATCACAAGAGATACATCAGAAAGAAAAAAAATTCCACATCCCAAGGCCTCAGAGCCTCTTACAAAATTACAACTGTAAACGCGCTAGTTATAAACAGGCTTTCCACAATTTGATTCCTTTTTGCTTCTTACACATCTTCAGCGACACAACAGGTAATTCAGTTCTAAATGTCTTTATCTCCCAGTGCCCCATGAAAGAGGGAATGCTCTAATCCTCGTTTTACAAATGAGCAACTAATGGACGGAGGGACTGTCGTGGTTTAGCTGCAGCCAGCAACTAAGCACCACACAGCCGCTCGCTCACCCCCAGTGGGATCCGGATTCTCAAATCAGCACCGTTCAGGCACCTAGATCTCCTGAGCTATAGTTGCACTGTTCAGGAAAGCATAGGTCAAAAGACAAAACTATTCTGTGACTCCTTGGCTGCTCCAGGGCTACCAGCAGCTCTGGCAAGGTGAACCTGTGCGTGCGCTCCCCAGCACCCTGCGCTCGGATGCACTGGCCCGTCCCAGTGGCCCTCGTCTCACATGATGTCCAATGCCCGCAGGGAACCTGCAGCTGACTGGCAAATGTGTCTCTGCCGAAGAGCGTTACGGGATATACGATGGAGCGCATTAAACACGTACATCCAAGCTCTGTCCTGGACCTCCTGGTTCATCTGCAGATGTGTGCTTGTGCCTGCTCAAAGGCAGGATGCACACTGGCGTCCCCTCTCAACCTCTGCACCAAAGCTCACTGAAAGCCAATGCTCAACCACAGCATAGGACTAGCCTCAGCAGATGGTCTGAACATACATAACTTCCTAACGGTCTTAAGAATGAATTCCATGTGTCTTACATTTGTATCAGAACCAGGGAGATGCTGGGCCACCTCTGTTTAGCACTCAATGCTTTGAAAAACAAGCAGGATCAAATTTAATAATGCTAGATTTTCAGTAATCAAAAGAATACATAAATCCTTCTGAGATATCCATTTAAGCAAATATTTTAAATGAATCAACATTAATAAAAGAACACAGCATTTCAAGCAACAGTTCATATTAAAATCCTTAGATAGAGTTCAGCAATGTGACATTAAATTACTTGTATTTCTCTCTCAGTAACTGCAACAATAAGAAATCAAGAGTAGACTTTTTTCTTACTCA